GCCAGGGCCAGCCACGCGCCCTCACAGGCCGCGGGAAGTGGTCAAGCTCCAACCCCAGCCTCGTTTACTTGGCTGCGGAAACAAGGATCAGGATGCCCCCAGGGCCAGTGTGAGGATCACGAGCCTTTAACCTGAGCTTCATCTGCTCCTCTCCTGTATCAGGGTCGGGGCAGCCCCGAGGGCCAGCAGGGCCAATGAGTGAGAGAGCAGCCGGAAGGAAGATCACAGGTTAAACTCAAAGACGCTGTGACGCGCAGAGCAAGCTGGAGCGGGAGAGGGGATGAGAAGCCGCTGCAAGTGAAACCGGGAGAAAGTGGGCTCCCTCGGGTGGAGCTGCTGATCTGTTTTTATGGCTCTTCCCAGGTACCTCTCCCACAGGCCAGGGCGTGTTCTAGGACTTGAGGAGGAAAGTGGATTGAGGAACAAGTGACTGGCACAATCCCACCAGCGTTTTTATTCCCAGTGGTGTAATCCACAGAGGCCAAGAAACAAGACCCCTGCATTTTTGCCTGTGCTGCAGGGACGGTGTCCTAAACCTGTGCATCCACCGAGAGGGGGAACAGAGCCGCTTCTCTGGAGGGCAAGGATGCAGCAGCCTCTACTCATTGTTTGCATTGTTTTCCTTTTCTCCCAGAGTGATTTAAAAGCAAAGCAGATTTTAAAAGGAAACGGGTTAAGGTTTGCTCAACTGGAAGCGAGTGTCTTTCACTCGCATGTGACTCCCGGAAGAGCGATAGGATGGATCAGTGTGCCGAACGCCCGGAATCTCATGGCCTGGGCTTCGCAGCTGCCTGGGAGCTTTGTGCTCTTGAGGTCAAAGCTCAGGGAATGTATAGGTTTTTCCAAGTCTGCAGCCAAGTCCTTCATTCCTAGTTACATGGGGCCAGAGGTATAAAAACGGATGTGGGTGTCCTCAGTCTACCTAGCCTTAATCAAGATGAATACTTACATCTGAAATAGTCAAAAGGTTAGAATTAGGCTTAGGAATGGGCTGGGGATGTAGCTCAGTGGTGCCACCACCTGCCTTGCAAGTGTAAGGTCCTGGGTTCAACCTCCCCCCCCAAAAGAATTAGGCTTAGTAAAATGGCTTCTGACATGTTGGAAAAATGATACGGTAAGGAAGCAAACAACAATAAATTTAAAAAGTCACAAAAGCAAAAGCAAGACCTACCCCAAATCTCCCCACCCAGTTTGCCACGTTACCATTTTGCCATAGCCAGATGCTTACTTACACTTTCTCGAGAGTTAAAAAAATGAGAAATTGTTCTGTCAATACTTACAAAACAGCTTCTTTCTTTTTAGTAGCCACAGAAAATTCCAATGTGTGAAGTTTCACCAGCTTTGTATGAACAGACATTAGTTTACCTACACCGGGCATCAGGCTTCTAAACAAAAATCTTCAAATCTAGTTGATGGTAAAATCAGTCGGGTTAGTCAAAACAAATCTTCCTGTCCGTGTATTTCATTTGAACTGACTTCATTTGATCTTAATTAACTTAGTGTAAATTAGGAGAAGAATTTTGTGCAGCTTATGGGAAATGGTCATTTCACAGCATGTCGGAGTGGCCCAGCTGTGTCCAGAGTAAGGGAACATTGATCACTGGAGCCACAGATGAGAAAGAGAAACTGACAGAGCCCGGGTATTGCCCTGAAGAAAGACACTTTGGGGAGGAAGAGAAACAGTGACCTGGCTGTGTGGGTGAGCATCAGGGTGTAGTGCAGAGGTAGCTGGGGGAGGCCAGTTCAGTCTCCATGTGAGGAAGACGGCAGTGAGGTGATCGGACCCTGCCATGGGTGTTGTGGGTGCTGTGGCTGGAGGGATTCAGGTAGAGGCGGGGTGACGACCTGTCGGGGGTCCCCTGGGACAGGCACTACACCAGTGCCTCCCAACTCAGCAGCACCAGGGAGTCACCCAGGTCCCCTGGGAATCCCAGTGCCCAGGCACAGCCCTGACAGATCAAATCGGCCTCTGGAGGGCAGACTCAGCCCGTGGTGCGGCTCCCCTGTGGAGTCACAGGTGCAGCCAAGGTTGACAGTTCTGGGAACGGGTCACATAAAGTCCCCCTCGGTTTTGTGAATCCATTTTCTGTCTCTGAGTTACAAAGTCCTCTAACCTGTGTAAGTACAATAGAAAGGGGTGTTCGTGGCAGAAAGATACCACATGAACCCCCCAAAGCACCTCTTCACCAGCCTTTTCATGACAGAAGAGTTGTCTACTGTGTGTAATTTACCAGAAGCAGCACAATTTTCCTAGCATATTCACCAGAAAGTTATAAAATGCGTCTAGTTTACCAGAACTAACAACTCTACGCTGTGCTCACCGTGCAACTTGACATCTCCGGCTTGCAGGAAGGGAGGACGACATGGAAGGTGGTTATCATTTGGAAGGAGAGTCCCCTTCCATAAGAACATCAGGGACCTGGCTCTCCAGTGTCCTTTCTCTCCTTGGGGGAGTCTGTAGCCCCCTAGGCCCTGCTTCGGCCCACTGGGTCTCAGCCTTTTCAGAACTAAGACCTGCTCTGAGGCTGCCTGTTTCTGTCTTGTCTTTAACACTGTTCTGTAGTGTGACGTGACGTCGTCACTAAGCGAGGGACCGCAATGATTGGCTCTTTCTTTCCCTGCCTGGCTGGGTCTTCTCTACAAATGTTTGTAGCTCTGTCCATTTTCTCAGGATTTCCTTTACTTCAGAAGAAGAACTTCGCTGCACTGATTGTTGCTGCACCCCGTCCTCTTCAGAAAGCTCCCCAGCTGCCTTTCTCTGTGGCTCAGCCACTTGGGCCCCAGCACTTCCACCCCGCAGGGCTGTGGAGAGAGAGCTCTTGCCACTTTGCTACCAACCTTGTGCATTTTCACCAGTGGCACAGTGGGATGTTACATTGCAGTCCAACCCTTCACATTCCCTATCCTGGCCCTAGGTCCACCGGCTGAAACCACTAGAAAGCATAGCCTGTCATAGTGCACAGATACTCTGCACTATCTAATCAATCACTGTGTCCTAAAGCTGTCCCCAGTTCGCCCTGGTATAAAAAACAAACAAAGCAAAACGCTGCAATAAACATCTTTGTCTGGGTTTTCAAATAATCATTTCCTTAAAGCATTGTCCGCAAACCACAATTTCCCTCCCTAATCATTTTTCAGAGGCTATTGGTGCCAAGTTTGCCAAGTTGCTTCCAGAAAGGGCAACCGTGTGCAGTGCCCTGAGTGGGTGGGGGGGCACTGGTTCACACGCTTCTATCGACGCTGAAAAGGTCTCAAAGAAAACACCATGCTGGGCTGGGGATTTAGCTCAGTGGTTCCACCGCCTGCGTTGCAAGCACAAGGACCCGGGTTCGATCCCCGGTACCAAAAAAAAAAAGAAAAAAGAAAACACCGTGCAGCCAATTAGAAGGGCATAAGGGGCATAAGGGGCATAAGGGATCCATTACTGTTGTTGTGATTTATTTCATTGCTGAGGGGTTTTGAAAACGTTGAGTGAAATAAATCAGACGTGTAAGCTCAAATGAGTCTCACTGGGGCAAGGAAAAGTTCAAATAAAGAGCACAGCAGAGGACAGAAGGACACAGGGGACAGATCCCTTGCCGATGGGAGGGGTGCTGAGGATGGAGAGCGAGGGGTAGGAGAAACTCGCACCATCAAGACAGGTCGTAAGCACGAGCTCAGATTAATGTCAACAAGAAGGAAATTGGGGCAAGGGTGCAGGAGAGGAGGGAGGGAGCGGCTGGGAAGGGAAGGGGACTGGAAAAGGCACCAAGCTGTGTCGGGTACACGCACCACCCCCCGAGATGGCCGACACTGCCGCTGACGCACACGCAGACGGATGGAAAAAGTGAAACCGAGTATTAATCATTCGTGTTTCCTTTCCTGTGAGCTAATAGCATGTGTTCTTGGCTGAATTCATTCTTCTGGGCATGTCTGCTTTCTCCTTGATTCTTTCTTTCTTTCTTTCCTTCTTTCTTCAATCACACAAACAACTCACATTTCTTTCCCTAGGAGAAATAACTGGGCCTACTGAGTTCATTACATTTTGAGACAGGGTCTCTCCTTAGCTGGGCCAGGCTAGAGCATGTGGTCCTCCTGCCTCAGCCTACTAGAATCCTGGGAACATCCGAATGCACCACCACACCTGGCTCATCACCACCTGATAGAGAGAGTTTCAGGTCCACCTGGCTCCGGGCCTCTCGGGTTACTGAAGACCCCTGTGTCCCTGCTCTCCTAAAACTCACATCGAACAACAGCTAACTTCCACCCTCAGCCTCAGCAAGGTCTGCACAGGGCCTCCCAGCTCCACCCACCACACAGGCTTGGCGAAGTCAGCGACTGGTCAGCCTTGGCCTCCAGGCAGAGACCCCACCAGTCCTCACCAGACTCCGCCATCCCATAGCCTGGCTTAGAGCAGATTTGCAATCAAACCGTGAAGTAAATATATATTTGGACACATGCGTATTTAAGGCATGCACATATCCACGTATATCCACACATACACAAGTCCAAATTATATTTTCACTGGCTGTTTCTGCATCCATACCGACACACACAGACTGCTGAGGGCGGCACTCTGGAATGGCTGTGTTCTCTAGAATGGAGAATTTATAAAGGCACACAGAGAAGCAAAGAGGCGAGATCGGCTGAACAGGTGTAAAAGTGAAATTCAGATGAGCGCAAAAGATATGGGTGGAAGAAAGAAAGGGAAAGAGGAGACGGCAAAAAGAAAATGGACATGAAGGGAGGGCAGGGCTAAGGGGAAAAAATGAGAATCAGAACTTGTCATGTAGAGGTACAAGATCCCAACAATGAATGTAACTGTACTGTATCCCTAAAATGTACCAATAAACTCAATTAAAGCTGAAAAACAGAAAACGGACACACTGGGCCAAGACCTCTCCTTCTGGCCCCATCCTACTTAGATCGTCATGTGTGCTCGTCCTCCGCCCACCTACAGCCAAGAAGGTTCTAGAAGGTTTTTCTCCCACCTCCCTTTTCCTAGGAACCCAACAGCCTACCTGGTAATTTTTCTAAATAACCAGCTCCAGTTGCATTTCAGTACGTTCTCACTCAGGTGCAAACAGACAAGCGGTGCCTGGTGGCTCGGCAAAGTCAGAGTGGCAAGTGTCCAGTGGCAGCCTGGGTCTCAACTAATGAAACAGAGATACTATCTGGGGAGACATAAGGTAGTAAACAGCAGAGCTTCCTGTTTTAAATAAGCTAGCTTCTCAGGTTTTGCAAGTTTTCAGAAAGATATTGAATTTGGTACGGTTCTTCTTTTTGACTATTGGCAGCCCACACGGAGCAGCCAGGGGAAGAGCCCTGGGGATGAAGGGCGCTGGTGCTCTGCAGGGAGTCAGAGGCTCCTTACTCCCTGGGATCACCCATGTTTGCTTTGGGGAAAGGATTACGATTCTGGGCAAGCATTTCTTTGATCCAGAGGGCGACCGGCTAAAAGATGAACTGAGACTCTCCCCGAAGGGAAAGATGACAACTAGGAAGAGATTAATTTGTTCTTCAGGGTCCAACCAGAGTCTTTGCTGGGTGTCCAGTTGTGGCAGTAAAGGGTGAGAAGACTCAAGAAGACCCGGGCTTGCATTTCAGTCATGGCACCAAACTGTAAGGCCTTGGCATAACCACTTAATCTTACAGATCTCAGCTTTCTCATCTGGAAACTGGAAAGGATGGGAATCTGTGTCACAGAGTCGTTATGGAGCCAGCGAAGATCTCGGATCAGAGATAAGCTGATGTAAGGCTTAGGCCAAGCTCCACTGTACCGTGAGCTCCACAGGCAGTGCCACTCGCCTTTCCCGTGTGTTGGTGTGTCCCTGGGGGCTCAGCACGGTGCTGTACAGAGAGAAGATAGGTACTCAGTACTGTGGGGAAAGCATGGTGTGATCTTTGAGAAACTGGGTAACCAGGCAAGTCCATGAGTTGACCAAGGGTTCAGCAGACATTCGATGTGCGTATAGCACTCTGCTGTATGTGTTTCATGATGAAGAAAAGGGCAAAGGAAGTCGGTAGGGAAAGAGAGATGGAGAGAGAAAGAAAGAGAAAAGGATGGAGACAAGACTCCTCTCTAGATAGATCTAACTATCCATCTGTCTGTCCGTCCATCCCTCTGTCCATCCATCCATCTATCCATTCCATCCAGGTGACTCATATCCAGGAATTCCAGTGCAGAGTATTCAGAATTACGAGCTGTTCTCTGCAGCAGAGGGTGAAATTCTGCAGGATCACTGTTGTTGGTCCAGCTGGCTTCCACTCCCTTCCCTTCACCTGGGGATTTTTATCCCTAGAGTCCATGAGACATCAATAGATGGCTGATGGCCTCGCAAGACAGGGAAGATGTGGGCCTGGCAGAGGCAGAGAAGAATAGAGAAAGAAAAGATTAGCTACTGCTCTTGGCTACATTACAAACAGTTGAGGGGTTCAGAGTAGATTCTCTAGGCATTTGAGAGCTATTGAAGGTTGCTGAGTAACTGAACCAGTGCCACCAGATCTGAGAAGTGTTCGGGAACTTTCAGAGCACCACACACACATTTTCTCTGTCAAAACCCACAGCCATTTTTTTTTTGTTTGTTTGTTTTTTTTGAGACAGGGTCTCACTATGTAGTTGAGACTCACCTGGAACTCACTGTGTAGCCCAGGCTGGTCTCGAACTCACAGAGATCCTCCTGCCTCAGCCTCCTGAGTGCTGGGATGACAGGCGTGTGTCACTATGCCTGGCTCGAAGCCCACAGCCTTTTGACTTAGCAGGGCGAGAATTCCTGGGGCCACCCCAGAGCGGCCTCCATGGGACTCTTCTGTGGGTGCAGTTACACCACAGTGTGTGCAAACAGCTCTCCTGGAAGTGCAGAGCACACCACAGTGAGAAGCGAGGCCTGGTAATCCCCTACCCTACAGATAAGGAACCAAGACCACATGTGGCCGAAGAGTAGGCTGGGAGTTGAAACACCAGCTTCCCGTGCTGTCTTCTCACCAGCAGCAAGCGCGGAGAGTGCTGGCGTGGGCTGCTACAGATCCAGCGGAGGAGTGGGAATATGACTCTGATGGCGCCCGGTGGGGGTCCGGGGACAGTCCCGGCCACCAGACGTCAGACCTGCAGAGAGGAGATGCACAAAATGCTCCTCATCTGAACCCAACAAATCAGTCTTTCCTCGAAAGTTAGGAGGATTTTAAAAGCCTTTGGAAATTTCTGTAAGGAAGCAATATGCATAGTTTTCTTGTTTTTGTGTTTTCTCCAAGCAAGGCTCACTTTTTATTGGTTATGCAATAGAAGGCAAGCGGGTTTTGTTTTGGCAGGTTCGAATGTGCATGTAACATGCTGTCATTGGTTGGCCCCCTAATTGCACAGTTTGGGTGGGGATTTCAGTGTGTTTATTTTGCTCCAATCCATCCTCCATTACTCCCCTCGTGGCCCTTCCCCTCCTCCTTACTGCCTCCCTCCTGTCTTTCCACTTTCTTGTCACGGTTTGGTAGGTTCCGCGTATCAGGGAGGACGTGTGGTATTTGTCCTGTGTCTGGTTTATTTTGCTCAACATGAGGTTCCGGGGATCCATCCGTTTTCCTGCAAACGGCAGAATTTCCATCTTTCTTACGGCTGAGCGTACTCCGTTGTGTGTAGACTGCAGGTTCGTTACAAATCCACTGTCGGTGAGCATGGGCTGGTTCCAGACCGCGGCTGCTGCTGTGCCGCAGTGACAGCGGGTGTTCAGGACCCCACAGTAGCTGGTTTCAGTGGCTTTGGTTATACAGCACCATGGAGGGTAGAGCTGGGTCAAACTGAGACAGGGTCTCACTATGTAGTTGAGACTCACCTGGAACTCACTGTGTAGCCCAGGCTGGTCTCGAACTCACAGAGATCCTCCTGCCTCAGCCTCCTGAGTGCTGGGATGACAGGCGTGTGTCACTATGCCTGGCTCGAAGCCCACAGCCTTTTGACTTAGCAGGGCGAGAATTCCTGGGGCCACCCCAGAGCGGCCTCCATGGGACTCTTCTGTGGGTGCAGTTACACCACAGTGTGTGCAAACAGCTCTCCTGGAAGTGCAGAGCACACCACAGTGAGAAGCGAGGCCTGGTAATCCCCTACCCTACAGATAAGGAACCAAGACCACATGTGGCCGAAGAGTAGGCTGGGAGTTGAAACACCAGCTTCCCGTGCTGTCTTCTCACCAGCAGCAAGCGCGGAGAGTGCTGGCGTGGGCTGCTACAGATCCAGCGGAGGAGTGGGAATATGACTCTGATGGCGCCCGGTGGGGGTCCGGGGACAGTCCCGGCCACCAGACGTCAGACCTGCAGAGAGGAGATGCACAAAATGCTCCTCATCTGAACCCAACAAATCAGTCTTTCCTCGAAAGTTAGGAGGATTTTAAAAGCCTTTGGAAATTTCTGTAAGGAAGCAATATGCATAGTTTTCTTGTTTTTGTGTTTTCTCCAAGCAAGGCTCACTTTTTATTGGTTATGCAATAGAAGGCAAGCGGGTTTTGTTTTGGCAGGTTCGAATGTGCATGTAACATGCTGTCATTGGTTGGCCCCCTAATTGCACAGTTTGGGTGGGGATTTCAGTGTGTTTATTTTGCTCCAATCCATCCTCCATTACTCCCCTCGTGGCCCTTCCCCTCCTCCTTACTGCCTCCCTCCTGTCTTTCCACTTTCTTGTCACGGTTTGGTAGGTTCCGCGTATCAGGGAGGACGTGTGGTATTTGTCCTGTGTCTGGTTTATTTTGCTCAACATGAGGTTCCGGGGATCCATCCGTTTTCCTGCAAACGGCAGAATTTCCATCTTTCTTACGGCTGAGCGTACTCCGTTGTGTGTAGACTGCAGGTTCGTTACAAATCCACTGTCGGTGAGCATGGGCTGGTTCCAGACCGCGGCTGCTGCTGTGCCGCAGTGACAGCGGGTGTTCAGGACCCCACAGTAGCTGGTTTCAGTGGCTTTGGTTATACAGCACCATGGAGGGTAGAGCTGGGTCAAACTGTAGCTCTGCTTTTAGAGTTTTGAGGAACTCCGTACTGATTTCCATAGCCGCGGTACTAATTTACATTCCTGCCAGCCTCGTAGAAAGGATCCTTTCTGCCTGCACCCTCTCCAGCATTTATTGTTTTTGTTTGTTTCTTTGTATTCTTTTTTTGTTCTATATTTTTGTTTTTTTGAGACAGGGTCTCATTACATAGTTCAGACTGACCTGGAACTCACTATGCAGCCCAGGCTGGTCTCGAACTCACACCGATCCTCCTGCCTCAGCCTCCCTAGTGCTAGGGTTATAGGCCTACGCCACTACACCCGGCTTGTTTGTTTGTATTCTTGACAACAGCCATCCTGACTGAGGTAAGGCAGAGTTTCATTGTGGCTTTGACTTTATTACCTTAATGGCCAAAGCTATTGAACAACTTTCCAGACACTTACTGGCTATCTGTACTTCCTTTGAGAAGTTTTTACCTAAGGTGTTTAAAAAAACTGATTTAAAACGAGATGTTAAATTTTTATTCACTTCTATTACTTGAAGAAAAACAGAGAGGATGAGGAGTATTTTTCTGACTTTTGATGACAAAAGTTTAAAAAAGTATTTTTAATGACTTCCCAATTTTTCGATGAATAACATAGCTATCATTTACTTGCAGCCATTTTAAGCGCACAGTTGAATAAATTTGAAATCACCTGTTTCTGTGAGTACCACTATATTCGAATACAGCGTATTTCTACTCCCCCACAAAGCCACGGTGAGTCCCAGTGCAATCAACGACTCCTGAATCCCAGTCCCAGACACTCGATCTGTCTTCTGCCAGGCTGGTTTCGTTTTGCTTGTTTTAGAATTTCACATAAATGGAGTCGTACAGCGCCTTTGCCTTTGGGTCTAGCTTTTTCCTCCACGTAACATGCTTGAAATTCGTTTGCATCTTCCACGCATCCCTAGCACCAGGGTTCCATGTCCCCACTTCTCCCTCTATCCTGACGGAAATACGGAGAGCATCCGCCTCTCCTGACCTAGCCAGCTTTGCATTTTCCCCTGCAAACCTGACAAGACAGCCGTGGGCTTCCCCGGGTGTTCAGACACTGCTTGGGCAAAACACTGTCCAAAACACTGAAGGAAACCAGCCCCAGCCCGGCCAACTTCCCTAAGCCCC